TAAAACTCTTATCCAAATTGTCGCGACTAAAAACAACAATGAAAAAAAGCTAAGAGAAAAGGCCTAACGGCAAACTTACAGACCCTGTAAAAGTGGATTGCGTAGACCGAACAAAAAGCACTTAAAAGCGTTTAATCCTATGAAAGTAAGGCTCTAGCCATACCTCGAGTTTCACGCACATGCGATCTTCAGAAGACTAGAATATATATATATATATATATATATATATATATATATATATATATATATATATATATATATATAATTAAAAAGAAAGAACAGTAAGATATATAATCCGGTGTTCTTATAATAGATATTTTTATTTTTACAAAATAGTGCTCAATGTAAATTTACAGAGCATTAATATTATACATTAATTGATTTAAAATGTGTTTTTTCGCTACACAGTTCTAACCATGTTTCAAAAATAGAAACTAAAAGCTCCGAATTTAATTTTGTAATTAAATTAAAGACATTAGTTCCATTTCATCCTCAAGCGAATTTTGGAGTAACTTTTTGCTGAAAAGGGTTGGGCTCTGTCAGGATATAATTTTTTTCTTTTTTTAAGCATTTCACCCCAAGCAAGGCGGGGGTACCACTAGCATGCAAGGTTTTACAGAGAGCAAGAGTAAAGAGGGGTGTTTGGAGAAAGGATAAAGAAAAGGACGGGGATGAGAATTCAGGCATCAGAAGATGTCGATGGACATTACATTTGAATATTTGAAGATTATAGCTATCAGGGAAGAAAGTAGGTGGAAGGGAGTTCCACTTGCGGGAAGTGCGAGAGATGATGCTGTTGGAGTAGAAGAGATGGTTATATTTATATGGCAACAGTATTCCAGGCAAGGACGAATGGTAGCTTTATAGATTTGAAGGATGCACTCAGACGAGAAAAATATCTTCTGGTGCGACACAGGGAATCAACTTTCCTTGCAGTGGATGGAGCTATTGATTCAAAGTAGTTGTTACACCTCAGTTCAGTGGAAAACGTGAAACGAAGAAGGCGCAGAAAGACGCTCTCTTGGAGTTGGGCATCAGCCATGCTGATGATTAAAATTTCTTAGAAGGCTGCGTATTAACGCACACACGGGATAAAACTATATGGCTCGAATTATATGACTGTTACCAGATAAACTTCGAAACCGGATTGAAAAGTCTGCTGCCACGTGAAGGCGGTATTCAGAGCACGACGAATGCGACTTGCTAGGATTTTATTATTTATTCCAGAATCCTTCCCCATAACGCAGTCTCTCTCTACAATACTTCCAAGATCACCCGTTTCCGGACTTCAATTATCGGGACGTGAAAGATAAAGAAAAAGTGTAATTATCTGAATAATTTTTGAATTGTCTGAATATTTTTTTCAATTATCCGCACTGAACACATTCTAAAATTTCAAGAATTTATTGAGAAATTTAAAGCTTTAAACATTGTTGTAAATGAAGCGGAAATGAGTAGTTTAATGCAGACGGCCCTGGGTAAGAATACATAAGTAACTATGTAATTGTTGAACTTATAACCGCACCGAAGGGGTTCATAATGTTATTGATTATGCTAAATTTCAATACCTATATCGAATTCTGAACATCGAAAGAATGATTATATTGGACAAATATTTAACATGGTTGCGCCTTAACCGGAAGTTACCCTTACAAATACATCTATCAGGTCATCCCATAAGTTCTGTCCGAATATTAACTTTTTGTTAAAATGAACAAAATTTAAAGAGTATTTTATAATGTCTAATGGAGCTGAATATTATTTTCATGTTTAGATGCATTTAAACTGATCAAATTTTATTTCAGAGAACAATGAAATTAAATTTTGTTTGATTAAAACCCTGCTAACATGGAAGTACCCAAGAATCATTTGAGGCACATAATGGTTTATGAGTTCAAGAAAGGAAACTCAGCAGTCGAAGCGGCTAGAAACATTCACTCAGTTTATGGAGAGGAATGTGTGAATGAAAGAACTTGCAGAAGATGGTTTCCAAAATTCAGAAGTGGAGATTTCACCCTTGAAGATGAAGATCGAATCGGACGTCCAGTTCAGTTTGATGAAAAGCTTCTAGAAGCAGCCCTTGAAGAAAATCTTGCTTTATCAGTTGAGAAATTGGCAGTGGTTCTCAGTTCAAACCATACAACGTCATCTTCAACAACTTGGAAAAGATCCTAAACTTGAAAAATGGGTGCCTCATGAATTGTCTGAAAACAACCTCAAATCCCGAGTTGACATCTGCTCTTCTCTCCATTCTCACCAAATTTTCACCTTTTTTGGATAGACTTGTGACTGGCGACGAAAAATGGATCTTTCATCGAAATGTTAAGCGTCGTAGACAGTGGCTTGGTAAGGGGGAAGGACCCCAGCCACAGCCGAGAAGGGACCTTCATGGCAAAAGGTTCAATCTGGTGGGATCACCAAGGAATAATTCACTTTGAATTCTTACCACCTAATGCAACAATTAATGCTCAAATATACTGTCAGCAATTAGAGCGTTTGAACTAAGCTTTGAGGAAAAAAAGACGTGCTCTAGTGAATCGAAAAGAGGTGATGTTTCATCAGAACAATGCGCGACCCCACCCAGCAAGAATCACGTCACAAAAGATCGAAGAACTTGGTTGGGAGAAAATTCCTCATCCACCTTATTCTCCTAATCTTGCTCCTTCAGACTAACATTTGTTTCGTAGCTTACAGAATCATTTGGAAGAAACACCTATTGTAACACAGGAAGAGGTTAAAACTGACATTTGTGAGTTCTTCGAATCAAAGCCAAAAGAATTTTACATTAATGGAATTAGTAAGCTTGTTAATAGATGGAATGAAGTCATAGATAATCAGGGAAAATACATTGTTCATTGAATCTGTAATTAAATGTAACATTTGGTCACTTGTTTTCTTTATTCAAAATTCGGACAGAACTTATAGGATGACGCCACCCAGCTGGAAACAAACAAAAACTGACGTATTCTTATCTAAATAAATAAACGGCAATTTCTGTCTTTGCGTCTGTTTGCTTGAAACCATTTAACTCGGGTCATACTTGTTCTACATTGACGTGTTATACCATTTTGGTATCAGGATGATCCTGGGATTTAAAATCTTCTCTTCATTTGGTGCTTGAACATCCAGCATTGTGTTTTGTCTCCGGACGAGGAGGGAACAGTTAAAAATGCAAATTTTAAAATAACTGAAAAAAATAATGATTTTACATTTTTCAATTTATATTAAAATTAATGTAACACAAAAATATTGTGAATTTAAGTTTCTATTTTAAATTCAGTTCAATATATCGCCAAAACTTTGTGAATTGAGGAAATCAATTTTATTCCTTTAAAATGCCAAAGAATTAACTCTGATTGTTTCGCATTTTGAAGGAATCAAATTGATAGGATTCGTGACATGAGGTTTTGAACTTCCAGAGACATTGTTATTTGAAGAACTCAACTCAATTGAACTTCCAGGGATTTTGTGATTTGAAGAACTCAACTCAATTGAACTCCCAGAGATTTTGTGATTTGAAGAACTCAACTCAATTGAACTTCCAGAGATTTTGTGATTTGAAGAACTCAACTCAATTGAACTTCCAGAGATTTTGTGATTTGAAGAACTCAACTCAATTGAACTTCCAGAGATTTTGTGATTTGAAGAACTCAACTCAATTGAACTCCCAGAGATTTTGTGATTTGAAGAACTCAACTCAATTGAACTTCCAGAGATTTTGTGATTTGACGAACTCAACTCAATTGAACTTCCAGAGATTTTGTGATTTGAAGAACTCAACTCAATTGAACTTCCAGAGATTTTTGTGATTTGAAGAACTCAACTCAATTGAACTTCCAGAGATTTTGTGATTTTCAACTCAATTGAACTCCCAGAGATTTTTTTATTTGAAAAACTCAACTCAATTGAACTCCCAGAGATTTTCTGATTAGAGGAACTCAACTCAATTGAACTTCCAGAGAGTTTGTTATTTGAAGAACTCAACTCAATTGAACTTCCAGAGATTTTGTGATTTGAAGAACTCAACTCAATTGAACTTCCAGAGATTTTGTGATTTGAAGAACTCAACTCAATTGAACTTCCAGAGATTTTGTGATTTGAAGAACTCAACTCAATTGAACTTCCAGAGAGTTTGTGATTTGAAGAACTCAACTCAATTGAACTCCCAGAGATTTTGTGATTTGAAGAACTCAACTCAATTGAACTTCCAGAGATTTTGTGATTTTGAAGAACTCAACTCAATTGAACTTCCAGAGATTTTTGCGATTTGAAGAACTTCAATTGAACTTCCAGTGAGTTTAGGATTTGAAGAACTCACTCAATTGAACTCCCAGAGATTTTTTCTGATTAGAGGAACTCAACTCAATTGAACTTCCAGAGAGTTTGTTATTTGGAAGAACTCAACAAGTTGAACTTCCAGATTTTTTTGATTTGAAGAATTCAATTGAACTTCCAGAGATTTTGTGATTTGAAGAACTCAACTCAATTTCCAGGGATTTTTGATTTGAAGAACTCAACTCAATTGAACTTCCAGAGATTTTGTTATTTGAAGAACTCAATTGAACTTCCAGAGAGTTTGTTATTTGAAGAACTCAACTCAATTGAACTCCCAGAGATTTTTGATTTGAAAAACTCAATTTTCGACTTGAATTCGATTTTGGCCCAAATCGATCTTTTGGCCTAAATTGGACTTATATTACAAATCAGAGTTAAAATGAAATTTTGAGGTTCCGTGTAGTGAATTCTGGAATTCAAAGTTATTTCTTCATAAATATCATTGCTGTTTTCTAGCAGGACCAGAGGTTCCTTTAATTTTAGGCTGAACCTCAAACTTTTATGCTCGTAAGGAAAACAAAATCTAAACCGTAAACAAAACGTTCGAAAATGTTTTCATGATATCAATGTTAAATTTCTTTCAAGATAATTTTTCGATAATTTACGTATTCAATTTTCCGGAATTTTGAATTATCCAAACATATTTTTTCAACCCCTGTCCCTAGGGTTCGGATAATCGAGGAAATCTATCTATTTTATCTATCTATCTATCTATCTATCTATCTATCTATCTATCACAGTCTGTTCAATATCTGTCTAAATCTGTTCAATATTCTATTATCTGTCTATCTATCTATCTATCTATCTATCTATCTATCTATCTATCTATCTGTCTGCCTGTCTTTCTATCTATCAAATTTGTCTAAATCTATCTATCTATCTATCTATCTATCTATCTATCTATCACCATCTATTCAATATCTATCTATCTATCTATCTATCTATCTATCTATCTATCTATCTATCTATCCATCTGTCTGTCTGTCTATCTATCACAGTCTGTTTAATATCTGTCTAAATTTGTTCAATATCTATCTATCTATCTATCTATCTATCTATCTATCTATCTATCTATCTCATTCTGTTCAATATCTATCTATCTATCTATCTATCTATCTATCTATCTATCTATCTATCTATCTATCTGCACGCACATTCATATATTGTATATATACTATACTTTTCAATGTCTATACAAGACGAGGAAAATTGGCAAATGGCTCAACATATGAACTCATTTCTTCTGTTCCCGTCGTAGAAATAGATGTAGGCGATCGGGGCTTTCCATAATGTTCTTTTCGTTATTATTTGTGAATTACCATGACTTCTTGGAATTGACAGTGATGTGATTTCCTGTTGCCTTTAACACGGTTTGTAATTCAGAAATTCCGTTCTCTTTGACTTTTAAATTACAATAAAAATTCGCAATTATGAATTTCGAATTCTGCTTTGGTGTTTCAGATTGTAGTCAAGCCCTGTAGTGTCAGGAGAGGTTATAGACATTTAAGAAGTTTTCATCTGACTGGCGGATAAGCAAAGTGATATGCCAATTTGAGTAACATTGACTGAGCGAGTCTATTATTAATTGCCGTTAATAATATTAAATGCACGCTACATAGATCCGCTTATGTCTATCTTTCAAATTATGGCCGGGCATTTTCCAAAATGTCACGGGAACATCCGGATTTCAACCTAACCGAAATATTTTTACGCATTATGTGGGAAAACCTGATTTAAGAAAGCTATTTATTCGATATATATATATATATATATATATATATATATATATATATATATATATATATAGTGGAACCTCGGTCCACGAATTTAATTCGTTCCTGAAGGCCTTTCTCAAATCGAAATGTTCGTAAACTGAAACTATTTTTTCCAATAGGAATCAATTTAGAAAGAAAAAAGTCACATTACAATAAAACTGGAAAAGTAAAGCACGTCACATAACAAGAAGGTAGACAACATGGCAGGCGACTCTGAAATTATTCCTTTTCTTTTAACTCGGTTCGACTATGTTGTTCGAGAACCGAGGCATTTTCACCTCGAATTTTCTGTTCGAAAACCGATTTTTTCGACATATGAGACGTTCGACAACTGAGATTCTTCCGTATATATATATATATATATATATATATATATATATATATATATATATATATATACACAAATGTTTAGAGGTACAAAATTTACATACAGTTTTAAAAACTAGGAATTTATTGATTTTTAATTTTGTTAGTCTCTCAGGCCCTTTCAACCAACATCTCACCAGGAGACAATCGTTGGATCATTAATTAACGAAAAGAACAGTAACGAAAATAAAGAGCAAAAAAAGGGGGAAACACGCTAAAATAACAAAGAAGTGTATATACATGTAACGAGATTTTGGAATCAGTCTGTATAGGATTAAGGAAACCTTCTCTCTGCCGGCAGAAAGAATTTGAAAAGTCCCTTAATCTGTTGGGGGATATTTTATTTTAACTGTCCCTCGCTAATTTATTTACACGTTATTTCCCCCCTCGTTACAAGTATATACATTTGTTTGTTATTTTAGCGTGTTCCCCCCCACCCTTTTTTTGCTAACCTCTGGATTCTATACTCAAAGATGACCGTCATCCTGAACAAGAGACAAGACTTTCGGTCCACCCAATAGAAGAAAAAGTAATCTATGTCAACCAATGGAAAACGAATGTACAAATGTTTGCTTGCTTATAAAGTCGAGTATAGAAATACATAGATATTAACAAATTGAGATAGACGTGAATAGATTTATACAGGGTGGTCCGAAAGTCTTGTCACCCCATGCATAATATAATTTTCTATTTCAGAAGGTTGACACGAGATCCAACTGTTTGGAAGAGAGGCTTCTCGATGTGTGACAACGTCAATGAGAATAAATATCCAGTACATGTGCTTTGTATTACTGTATTACTTGTTCTATTGTTCTCATTATTTTTTGGTAGAGAATAACAAGATTTTTCGATCACCCCGAACACATTTGCCGCACTAATTCCTGTATTTATGCTTTTACGGTTATCGGTTTGATATATGTGTACCTTTAATTATTTTCAAATCGTTTAAGAGAGCCATGTCTTCAGTTGTACATTTTTGCTTATTACGACTGTATAATTTTTTTCTTAGGGTATATTTGTTGTATAGCTTCTACACTTGCAGTTGGAGAAGAATTATCCACTTGTAAATGTCCCACTATCTTATATAAAATGCATCAGCCATATCTTCAATCAACTTTAATTAAATTACTATTTTTTAAATCGAAATTATGGACACTCCTCTGTAAGATTAACTCATAACAATCAATTTACAACTATGATTTCTAATTAACCTTGTACTGAACAAAGTTAAGCTTATTAAATTTTAGTATGTACTAAAGGAGTCACCAAATTTGAGACATCTTTAATATGTCGTGAAACCCCAGGACGTGAGCGATCATGGTTCACCACATTTCCCCATTCTTTGCAGAATGCGAAAAAGTCTCTCCGTGAGTTTAAGTGGAAGGAGAGATGGATTCATGCCTTTCCCAAAGGCCTTTATGCAAAAGTGAACGCAGCAGGTTGGGATGGAATTTTGAATTCAGCTCGTCGAGTCGATTTACGCGCCAATAAAAGTTACGTCGCCAATAAATAAAATATGAATCTGCGACAGCAAGTAAAAAGCGATTCACCAAAAGTCTGATCTGGAGAATTCCGCCCACGGGCGCCTAAGGCCGGGGCCGTAAAATAATCAGAACTGGACATAGTTTAGAATGTATAGGCGAATCTCCCGGGTGAGAGTCATATTCCCGAAAGAAGGTTAAAAAGTATCCAGAGATCCCGTTCAAAGTCGTCATGTATTTTGTTCTACGACACGTGATCAGTAGTCAACTTCCGCCTCTCTCTTACGTTGCTATACACTTTATCTCTTTTCTACTTAACATATGTAGTGAGGTACAATCCTATTTAATAATCCACTGCACCATACTGAACCGAAGAAGTTTAATGCCTTTTCGTTGTTATGAAACTTTTTCTTCTACAACCTTTTTTTCCCCCTTTTTCCCTTGAAATTTATGTCCTGTTCTTTTTAATGGAGATATTGGTCTCATTTCATCTCCAATAGTCAAATCTTGAGTTCCAAGTTTCTCAAATTCGCAGAATCATTTATCTTCTCTTGATCTGTGAAGATATGGCATAATTAATTCATCTTGCTTCTGTTTAATGGACAGGCATTTTCTTATTTCTGCTATGACAAGTTTCTTTTTAGGTCGTAAACTTATTTTTATAATTTCTGAAATTTTGACGACAGTCAAATTCTCCAATAGTTTGGGGTATGCCATAACAGAAATTTTCAGTATAGATTCACAACCTGCCGAAGCTAGAAAGAGGTCAGTTATTTCATTTTATCCCTCGTTTGCCTGGTTGTCTTTCAATTTTTTAGCACTAGCCTGGGCTGCAATATACCAGATCCAAATCTGGACAAAATCTTGTTCATCCAATTGGACTTAAATATCCTACCGCCGCCATATTGTTGTATTGCGTTGTGATCTGTAGTCAACTTCCGCCTGTCTCTTACTTTACACATTATATCTCTTCTACTTAACATATGTAGTTAGGCATAATTCTATTTGCCAATTCACTACAATAATATTCTTAATATGATGAAATTCTTTTGCTGCGATTATGAATGTATTGATTAATACTGAGCTTTTTGTTGTCGTTGGATATTAATATTTGCGTCTTTTAGTAGATTAGGTACGTTTTGGTTTATCTATTTGTAATACTTTAAATTTTCTGTATAGTAGTTCAATTTTTATTTTTTAAAAATAAAATTATAATCTGTGGAAATTTGTTAGTAGAGGATCACTGGATAAGTCTTTTATATGAGCATAAGAGAAAATAGTAAGAAGTGAAGTTTATTATTTCTTTAAGCCTGCGTTTCTGAACAATTTTAATCCTTCTGCCTGAGCTCCTGAGTCAAATTCGCAAATTATTAATGTGTAATATTTCACTGTAGATATAAAAATAGTTACAAGTGTTTACCCACCGTTCAATCATTAGCTGAGCATTAAGTCATTCCCTCTCTACCACTGTTCAACCGGTGGCTGGGCATTACGTCATTTTTCTCGACAACCGGTAAAGCGGTGGTCAGGGCTCAAAGGGTTAAAATATATCAGAAAGATAACGGTTAACACTAGACTTTAAGGGGTTAAGTTTGTAGCGAACGAGGAAGCATCCTCTTGGGAGTGTGTTCCAGAAAATAGGTGTAGTAATTAACCCATAGCTGGGCAAGAAGAGGTGAATTTACACCTTTCCCAAGGGTATTTGTGCGTAATTGAATACAATGAACCCAATTAGAATTAGAACTCGGCTCTCCGATTTCCAATTCCGATCTGTTATCCATTACACCTTCTGCACATCGAAGCTTACAACGCCTAGTATTCACAAGCAGTCACCCATTTAGGTACTGGACAGGCTCAATGTTGCTTAACTTGGATAATCGTACGATATAAACCACGATTTCTGACATCGAAACACAAATGATGCTCCATTGGTCAGTGAAATCAACAACGTTTCTTCGATGGTTACTGATGCAAATCGCCCCAACCTCTACTGATTCTACTTGGGTCGGTTCCGGATTTGAAAGACCGTAGAAAACTGTCGACACGAATGAACAGGCAAGTAACTGAGGTGAAGAAGCAACTGGAAGCGAAGGCGAAGAAGTTCAATATGGCTGACTTCTTTAGGCGGGAAACTGATTTAGAATTGGCGCCTGGCGTCTTCACCTGACGCCAGACAAGGGATGTGGAAACAGGAAAGGTGTTCACAGTTTAGTGATCTGCTGAAACACGTCACTGGTTCCTTTTCTCAATCAGTCAACAACAGCAACGCAGGCTCAGTTCAACACCAAATCAGTCTCATAACCTTTACGTAAATATTTTGGTCTGTACACCGGTACACGATAGTAAGATGTAAAACTCATGCGCACTTCGAAAACCACGTATAGGTATATATATATATATATATATATATATATATATATATATATATATATATATATATATATTTGAAGGTGGTACTTTTTGGTAAAACTTCTAGATAACATACATAGACACGTTTGCACAGAGTAAATTAGGATTAAATAAATAAGAAAAACATTTATAAATTTAATATCTTTCGGTATTTATTTAGCTTCACCAGAAATGTGGTCAAGTGGGATAATGCGGAATAGGCTCGATTTAGAAATTTTTATATTGTATAGGCGTCATATGTTGATTTTACGGCATTACTATGTACGTAGGTATGTATGCATAACTCCTTGATTGATTTGCTTTTAATCGTATGGGTTGTTTAAAACCTTTTCGGAATTAGATTCAAGCTTTAGATGCGGAAATATGTGGAATTCTTTTGATTTAGAAATTCAATATGGTTTAGGGGTCATGTGTTCATTTTTTTTAGTATGTATGTACGTATGTATCACCATGAAACCCGGGTTCGAATCTCAACAGGGCTGATTTGTCAGGAAGAAGACTTCCTGACGTTACCAACCTGGAGGAGGGCACTCCCAGCGTGAGGCACCTTTGGAAAGTTTCTGAAAAACGTACCACGGGTTGACCCAAGCCTTGTGTGTTAAATTAGGTAGACGGAACACTTGGGGGTCTTCGATAGCTGAAGTCAAAAGTCATCGCACGAAGTCACAAGTCATTGTGACCGAGGGTTTGAGTGTGCTGGTGTTGTTCAGATTATAGATCATTCTAGATAACACGCTCTCTCCCAGAAACTGTAACTAAGATCTGATCAGCATAGTTGCAGTATAAACCACAGGTTGGCTTTGTCGGTGTTGAACAAATATAAATGTGCGTGAGCGAGCGTCTGCAGTAGGGATTGGCTAGCCGTCCTAGTAGACGGGGATCCAAGAATACGAGTGGCCAGTTATTATGTATGTATGTATGTATGTATGTATGTATGTATGGGCACCTGATGGTATCGTACTGTGGGGGGGGTCGATCCCACCGTGCGGCACCTTTGGAAAGTGCTTGAAAACCATAGCATGGGTTGACACAAACCTTGTAAGTGAAATTGTGTAGACGGAATCCTTGGGGGACGTCGATAGCTGTGCTAACACGAAGTCACGAGTCATCGTGGCCGATGGGTTGAGGGTGCTGCCCTTGTTCAAATTGTTGATCACGCTAGAGAACACGCTGTTTCCCAGAAACTAAGGTCTGCTCAGCATAGTTGCTGTATAAAACCACAGGTGGGCTCTGTGGGTGTTGAATAAACACAAAATGCGCCCGAGCAAGTGTCTTCAAAAGGGATTGGCGAACCGCATTAGTAGACGGAAATCAGCGAATATGAGTGGTCAGGTATACATGTATGTATGTACAACTGATTCATTGACTTGTCTTTTTTCCAGCTCATCAAGAATTGATTGTTTATTTCAAGTCGAAACCTATTTATTTATTCTTTTTTGTGAGTGCATTTTGCATTGAAAAAAATGAGAATAGCAATGATTAGCCATATTCAAGTTCTACTATTTAATGCATAGCTGGAAGGTATAATGGCTTCATATCATTCCGAAGTGTATTGGAGCGTAAGTAAATATCAAAAATAGGCAGACAAACACTCCCAAGGGTCTAGTCATAGATACCATAAGATAATTTGATTTATGGTTACCGCTTATCCTCAGAGATCACAACGTATTTCTCCTTACATACAGTTTTGTATTTCTTTCTGTTGTAATCTAGCTTAGGTTACTGAATAAAATAATCACACGAAGGTTGGTAATGAACGATAATACTCAGGACACGAACAACACATAGGAGCACTGATATTACGTAACATTCTCGTACTCTTCTCTTTATTTCTGTTGTGACCAAGTAAATGGTTAAAGAAATAACAAAAAGTGTTGCAGATATATCATATATTAAACAGTAAGTACAACAGAAGAGTATTGCATGACTAGTGAATGTGTGTCGGTTGACCAACGTTCAATCTATTCGACTGTTAATATCTAACAGCCCAACTACGAGGGATGGATGTGGCACAAGGCCGAGTTTCGCATGTGTTCTCCGAGCCCGTAGGCTCAGTCAAAAATATTCCCTTAGAAACCGCATAAACTTCCCCGGACGAAACTTTGCCCTGCGGCAAAGCCTCGTCCGGATTCCTCTCTGCCGAAGCAGAGAGTTCGACAGATGAACAATCTATTCGACTATTAATATTTAACAGCACCCCCACAAGGGTATATGTGGCACAAGGCCGGTTTATTGTAGATTTTCCGAGCTCGTAGGCTCGGCTAAAAAATATTCCGTTTGAACCCGCCTAAACGGGTTCAGGGACTGTCTACCTCCCCGGATGAAACTTTGCTTTGCGGCAAAGCCTCGTCCGGGTTCCTCTCTGACGAGGTGGAGAGTTCGACAGAAATTAATAGTCTGGTCGACTGTTCCCCCAAGGACTTCTCTCCTACTAATCTTATAGTATGCGGAAGAGTCCAGTTTAGACCACAACAATTTCTAACGATTTTTTTCTGTTGTTTAATACTTTGCTTAGCTTTTGCAAGTCATCTTTCAATGATCCCATTGCACCTTCGGATTTCAGTGTCACACTTTCCGTCCCCTGATATTTAAAGTGCATATTAAAATGTAGGTCTATTAGTTTATTTTTAATTGCATTGTAAATATATCGAATTTTGCAAGTGGATGTGTAAAACTAATGTTTGGATATTACATTCATTACAAATATTGGTGATATGTATAAAGTGCATCTGATTTGCATTTATTGCATGCTGGTTATTCATAAATATTCCTTTTAGAGACAAATATTTGACTTTGTACAGACGAACAGATGAAGTAAGATGGAAAGATTGTGCAGCGCCATCCTCTGGTTTTGAAAAAAACAGCATTTGGAAGTTCGGTTTTTATTGTTTTCGAACACCGTCTTTTATCAAAGAATAAAAAACGTAACCATCTCAGCTATTAGGTCATGTTAGATTGATTTGTTTTTTATGGCTTATCAATCTTTTTACGGTTTATTTAAAGCCAGTAGAAATTTTTGGATTATAAAACCATTTTGGAGATAATAATGATTTACTGATGTCCTATTAATTAACCCATAGCTGGGGGGAGACGTTGGAATTATGCTATTTATATTTATTTAAGCGTCAATGAATATAGCAAACCCGAATTGAATTGAAACCCTCTAGATATTAACCCAATAGAACACCTGTAGTTTAACTCCTTTGTGATGTCAACGAACACTCCTTATCACTTTCATAATGTTCGTTGTAGTTGAGAATTTGTAATCGCAGATACAATGATAGTAACTCCATTGAACAATACTGAATCCTTCGAATATCACACGCACTAATAGTACTTGCTCGATAATACTCGCTCGGAAAGTAACCATCAAATTGGGAGCCGAATAGTAATCCGTCTAGTAATCCCTTAGACGCCACGCTAATTCCCTATATACATTTACTTTACCGTTACTTATTCAAAATGGGATCAACCTCCAATGTCGGTAACGATACTTTGTTCCTGTATAACAAACTCCTTTCCAAGTCAAATGCAACAGGTTGTGCAATGTTAGACTTTGTCAAGCTTTTTATGCTAACATTACCTGACATACGGACATATCACGTTTAAATACAGGTTCTCATACGATCACCGAAGGTAAGCAACGTCGAGCCTGGTCAGTATCTTGATGGGTGACCGCTTGTAATAATAGATGTTGTAAGCTTAGATGGGTGATTGGTGTCATGGATAAGAGCTCGTAATTGCAAAACTGATAGCCAAGTTCCAATTCCTATCTGGTTTGTTCTATTCACGTAAATACACTTGGGAAAGGTATGCGTTTACCTCTTCTCACTTCAGCTATGAGTTAATTAGTAGGATTTGTAGCAGTAAATCATTAGTATCTCTAAAAGATTATTACAATCTAAAAAATATCTGCTGTCTTTAAATAAACTGCAACGGGTTGATAAACCATAAAAAGCAAATCAATCAAATGTGGTCGAACTTCCTTACAAATGACTCTTATTCATGTCTCATGTAGACATCGATGGTGATATTATCTACAACAAAGCCAAAGTATTATGTTAGGAGATCGCAACATATCCATTCAAGAAGTAAAACAGCAAAAATAGCGTAGAGTCGATAGGAAAAAAAATCATCCACGAATGTTTACATATGCTGTGTCAGTCTTTTGAGTTCCCTCTTTGCTCACACTTTTTTGAAGGAGAATTTAACACGTACAGGGCATATTGATAGTGCGAAAAGCAGGATGAAACTGCGAGTAAACTACCTGGTTAAAAGTTAAAGAATGAACATAAAAGCCCAGAGAGGTTACAAAGGAGCAAGAGTTACTTAAAGCAAAAAAAGAGAAATTGTGTAGAACCATAATTGTAGACGTTCCAAAAAGGTCATAATATTTAAATGTGGAACTCGTGATTTGGAAGGTTGCGACGCTGAAACACCAAACGTTGGTCCAAACACGTAACGATACACCGAAAATAAGCGCGTCCTAGGTAAGTCGATAAACAACATCCGCGACCTGGGTAAGACGATAAACTACGTCCAACAGCAAAGCCTATGATCTGAAGGTTTTGAGGAGCGTGGAACAACCTCTTAATTGGTGGTGTTCCCAGGTCCACCCTGACCCCGGGTGGTAGCACCACTTAGGGTTCCAACTATGGGCAAATATTTACCCCCCCCACACCACCACCACACCAAAACTGTGGTCAAAACCCTATGGAAGTGTAAAAATAGTTTTTAATATCAGCAATAAATTTTTTTAGGAAAAATTATTACAAGCAATACATTTTTGAGGAAAAAAATATTACCAGTAATAGATTTTGTGGAAAAAAATATTACCAGCATTAAAAATCATAAAAATTTTGTCGGCATTAAATAATCCATTTAGGTTGAAATGCTGTAAAACAAACCAAAGCAAGCCAAACCATAATTCAATGGCCAGAAAACTCTTTTCACGGCTTCCTAGCAATTCTATTTCCAAAAGCTGTCATATAACTGTCGTTTGTGGACGACAAAGAAAAAAAAACAAACAAATAAGCAGGTCATCAGGAATTGTCTTTGATCCAAAGGAAACCAGAAATCCCTTTTTACAGCTTCCCCACGAAGTTAACATCCGGGACCTGGTTCTTGGCTGTTGTATGTGGACTACGAACTGTTCAACACAGAAAAAAAATCAGACCTCCTCAGGAATAGAGTTTTTCACCTAAAAGAAACCTAAGTTGTAAGTAAAAAAAATTTCTTCGTATATATATATTCATCACAACTCGGTAGAACAACTGATTCAAATAAGTTTATTTTTGATTTCTTGTACATTGACTTTGTCTTCATACAATAAAAGATTTCCCATCAAGATATATTTTGAACGTTCTTACATTTAACACTACTCAGTAAAATATCTCTGTATTGAGTTGCTACCAAAATATTTCCTTTCATTCCTTGTTTTATAATTTTTTTTACACTATTTTGCAGGCACAGAAATCTTTTAGTGCCTTTCTCTTCTTCTGAATAATAAAGGGTGTTCCAATAACTTGGACCGATTTTCAATGTGAATTAAGTTTAAGCGCGTAATGATTTGTTTCTTGTTCTTTCAGATTTGGCGGACATTTGGGCGATATCATTTTTCACATATACTTGCCATGACTTAAATAACATGATCCAATCCAAATAAATTTTCACTAATAACACTGATTTATTTAATCCTGACTTTGATCCGTCTTAATGAAACACTTTTCTATATAATCTGTCTTAATGAAACACCCTTTAGTTTTCTATGTATAAATGTTTTCTATATATATAAATGTATTTCTTATTATAAAGATTATTTTTTAGTGGGTGCACGTGTTTGAATTGCTATCTCTATTTATTTATTTTATTTTATTAATAAGTTTAAATTAATAACAACCTGCTTAGTAATGAGAAATAATGTAAAATTAAAAAAATCCTTTCAAAACTTAATGTGGTTTACGTTTCAGATACGAAACTGAAGTTAGCAGATTTAGTTTCGTAGAAGTCCTAACGAGAAAAACGTGCTTTAATTAAATCGGTAATTCAAAGTTTGATCTGTTAGGCTTGCCGAACTAGTAGAGATACATTTTCCAAGATGAAAAAAGGTATAATTTTTCTTTTAGTTGAACTTTTCGTTGTTATTAATTTCACTGTTTAATAAAATAAAATCAGAAGTAGCAACTGAGGCATATATACCCATTAAAAATACTGTTTATAAGACATGATAAAAAAAAATCCTTTAAAAAAATTACTGTTTAAGTTTTGGGTACGAACCTGAAGCTGGCAGATATATATTTATAGAAGTCCTAAGCGAAGACGTTAGAAAGAAAATTAAATAGATAATTCAAATCGAACTCTACTAGACTGAATTTCGTGGCTGATCTAGTAGAAGAATATTTTGGCTCAAAAAAGGGATGCGGTTTCGATACCAGTCGGAAGCATAAATATTCTTTAGTATGAATCCTCGATTTAAACCTGTTATACTGTTTAATAAAATGAAATTAAGAAAGGGTTGATAACTCGAATACTAAAAATAAAAGATATTTTGAGAAATAATGACGAATAAAAAACACTTTCAAAAATATAAATGTATATATGAAGTGATGTTACGGATTTTTCAATTTTGTAAACGAAAACACATACACCCCTGTGCAAATTAATTGAAACGAAACAAATAATGCCCTTATTATTTACTTGTCTTTCGTATTTTTCCAGTTAAACATGGCCAATGCACATGTTAGTACTTCGTATGGTCATTCCACGGAGTTGTTCCTTGCAAATTAACCACAGATTATCGATTGGATTTAAATTATTAGAGTTTCCAGGCCAATCTATAGTACTTCGATTTGCTCACTGGTAAGGCTTGCCAGTGTGCTCGTGCAGTGTTACAATTTTCGTACGCTTCCCTGGATTAAAGTCCATCGCAGACAATGGCCAAAGGACAACTAATCGACAGTTGAGACAATAGTGTCTGGGCGTGATAAAAATCTGATGCAATTACGGATGACGTAATATTTTTCGAGGCCAAACAAATTACATCGTACACTCCTAAAATAGATTCATATTACTGCACACCATTGTCAATGACCTAATCTGAGTTAAAAACAGAAATCGATGACATCCCGTCAATCTAGTTGGTCTAAAAAATGACTAAATGGTGAAAGATAGGAAATTAAAGCGGTCGTTTCAATTAATTTTCACAAGGGTGTAATTTACTCGAATTTGCTTTGTAAAATATGTTCTGGATTTTATAATTAAAAAATTAAAATAATTTATTATAATATATATAAATAATATATTAAAGACATTTTTATGTTTAACGTTCTTTTTATAGATACAAGTATTTAAGTAAATGCTCTGTTTATAATAAACAGTATTAAATAACATCTACCGGCCTGAATGTCCGAGAAATTTTCATAGAAAATATTTGTCCTTTGACAGGATTCGAACCTGCATCCTATACGGAACCGTCATTTACGCTGACGTGCCTTAACCGACTCGGCCACAAAGGAGCGTTCGGTAGACAAGGTCGAATTTACTGCTTATAAACTCCAATCTTCCATGAATCTCGTACATTCATAACTGCTCTGGCGCATTAAATTGTCGGGCTTTGTCCATTTCTTAATATATATATATATATATATATATATATATATATATATATATATATATATATATATATATATATATATATATATATATAGTCGTGGCCAAGACAAACCGGCTTCATTATCTGGAACTCTCCCTTTATACGAGAAGAAATGTTGAAGATTTCTCAGATCGGCCCATTTCTAAAATCAATATCCTGATGTTTTAAAGGGTTTTGAACTGAAAACCTTTCAACATCCAGTAATGCTCCCCGGCCATATACACTGTTATTAGTGAACTAAAAAGAGTAGGCTGGTTGTAACACCAGCACAATTATTTTATATATTTATTAAAGCTTTTCATGAGTATTTACTTTAATCCTCATTTTTAATGGTTGAAACATTTTCAACAATTAGTATATATATTTTTAACAGTATTTAATGTAATCTTTATTTTTTATTTGAAGCATTGTTAGCCATTATTATTAATTGTGACTAGAAATTACTTTCAACGTCATTTTTTTACGGGATAAAGCATTGTCAACAATATTTATTTTAAAATAGTATTTACTTTCATTTTTGTTTTTCTTAGATGAAACATTGTCAGCCATTATTATTACTTTTGACTAGCATTTACTTTCATTTTTTTCTTAAAAGAGAAAGCATTGTCAAACATTTTTTATCTTAATTTCTATTAGATGAAGCATTGTCAACTATTATTAATTTTACCAGTGTCTACTAGCAGACCAATTGATTTAACTACTACCGATGCCTAAATAAAAATTTTCATATTCGAAACACTAGCTTTTAGATAGAGACGTCTAAACTGGCTATATTGAGCATTTTATTGATACAGTTTGATTAAATTATAATTCAGCACAATAATAGATGTAGAGATAATCTATATGATAATGTGATCATCCATTTGAATTATATCGAAGTAGATATAAGTCAGTTAACTGCTAACAAGTACATATGACAAGATCCATATTTTCATACTTAATTCTTTTTTTATCTAATTAGTAACGTTTCCTAACTTTGTTCATATGCTCTGTTTATTTACAGAATGTATTCAGTTGGTTAAGAACCCTGGTCAGTATTGGTACATTGCCGGCGAAACCAACACCGGATGCGCGCTGTTTCTTTTAGGTGGGCATGAAACACGTCTGGAAATCGAATTTCTTGACTTTAACATCGATTGCGAAAGTGACGGCTTACTATCTGTAAGTTACACCGTTTACTCTTTTTTATTTGTTTTTACATCTTAGGTAAACACACATTCATTATACACACACACACACACACACACACACACACACACACACACACATATATATATATATATATATATATATATAATGAGCAGATACTACCTACCTACGTTTTCACCACATTGGATCATCAGGGTGAACTGGCCAGTTCACCTTGATGATCCCAGCTTGTGAAACCTAGGTAGGTAGTACCTGGCTCATTAGGATTTATTTATTTTACCTTTGCTCTAGGTATTGAGTCCTCTTAGTTTTTAAATTATTACTCGCTGATTTTTTTTTCTTTGTACCAGAGATTTAACGTACTAGACGACTACTTTCGCCCTATTCGGAGATATCATTTTCTTTTTTTTTTCAGAATTTTTCCTCAGGTTCTAATTTGTGTGAAAATTGTGCTATCCAGGTTTTTTCACCCACCAAGTCTGATACCATAGGACATATGGATAGCTTTAAATAGACAAAACCGAAATATTTTCCATAAAAAGGTAATCTTTTTTCGGCCAACACCTCACCAGAAGAATCGTAGATTTGTCTATTATCCTGCGATTCTCGTTAATATTATACCAATCACCAAGAATTCTTCTGATGTTGCCCCCAAAAGGGTACCTTTTATGAAAAAATATGCTGGTTTGTCTGTTTAAAACATACATACATACATACATATATATATATATATATATATATATATATATATATATATACCCGATGCAATGAGATTGAAAGTAATACAGTGTAACCCGGATGTAAGAGAGTTGTCGGGACCGGAGAAGAAGTCTCTTATATCCGGGTTTCTCTTATATCCGGGTTTGGTCTATTTTATATACATTAACACAGGCTCTAATTTGGGACCAGAGAAAATCTCTCTTATATCCGGGTTTCTCTTATATCCGGGTCTCTTATATCCGGGTTACACTGTATATAAATTCTAAGGTTCACATCATTAATTCAAAAGATAATCATTTTTGGTTCTCACCAGTCGAGGTGCAATTGAAATGCACCGAAACGAAGTTGCATCTTCGTAGTGAAGAAACTGTTTTTGTCTATATGATAAAATTATAATATATATATATATATATATATATATATACTGGGTGTTCAAAAAAATGACATCATTTTGTAGTCTAATAACATAGACAATTCTTGCTCAAATGATCTCAAATTTTAACAAAATGTGTAAAATTTAACTGCAGATTTATCTCAATGAGAATGTGACAGAAAGATGGATCGGGCGTGGTAGTTATAATGACAATGTTCTATTGAAATGGCCACCAGGTTCACTTGACTTGACATCTTGTGATATATATTTTTTTTTTATCTGGGGCTATGTGAAAGAACAAGTCTATATTCCCGCTCTTCCTCAAAGCCTAGAGGAACGTAATCAGAGAATCAATGGAGAATGTTGCGCAAATGCTACATCATGTTTAGCAGGAGCTGGACTACTGATTTTAACGTGTGTCGTGGTGCGCACATTAAACGTTTGTCAAGCTTTAGGAAATCTGACGTAAAATCTTGATCCATTTGAATAACTTTTTGAATTTTGATCAATAAAGCATTTATTGTTCAACGTGAAGTTTATCTAATTTCCTTTGTCTGTGGTATGTAGTTACACAGATATTCACATTTTAAATGATTGTAAATTTTGAGGAAAACCTGTATATGTAGAATTGGAATTAATGTAAATATAAAAGTTGTGTTTTAGCTGATTGATGTTAACTTAAGCATCCCAACTCTAGAAATCACTATATATTTTTATATATCAGTATATATTTTAGGTAAAACGGAAATAATGTTTTTATAGTGTTATTTTGCAAATGGTAAGTACAAACAGTTTATTCATAATATATGAAAACTAGAGTTCAGGAATTAGTCTTATGGGTTTCCAAATCAGCTTGATGAGGACGTGAGCCTTTACACTTGGCCATATATTGGATTAGAGGAACGCCGTCTTTGGTAGGCTTTACATTTTGTAGATTCTTGTTCTATTTTCATTTCACATTGAATAATTTTTATATCATGTCAAAGTTTACACACACATATACATACACACACACACACACACACATACATATATATATATATATATATATATATATATATATATGTGTGTGTGTGTGTAATGAAATGGATTAAGTCCGACAATTATTTAATATATTTTCTGTTTATACGTTATTTTTAATAGATACAATTTATTTAAGTAAATGCTATGTTTTTAATTAATCAGTATTAATTACATTTACCGGCAATGAATGTCGGGGAAATTTCGTAGAAAATATACGTTCTCCGACAGGAATCGAACCTGTATTTCTATACGGACACCGGTATTAGACCTGACGTGCTATACATTTAGCTACATAGATAAACGGTAATTCGGACTTCTCGGCTATAATTTTAGGATGATTTTAGTTTTACTTTTAATTGAATGTATGGCTAGTTTACATATGTATCTAAAGTTATAAGAATGTTTTATTTCCCAAACACGGCCAGCATATTGTGGCCGTGTTCATACATGATGTTGTTGAGTGTTGGCTTTTTCTATTTTATTAATAATGCTTCTATAATTTTTAGCCGTTTTGTTCATGTGCATAAGACTATTATACTTGTATTATCAACGAGTATGTTGCAGATGGAGTTTGGTAGGTCTCCATGTGTATTTAAATAAGACTTAATTGAGCTAGAATTAGAGAGATGTAACGTGAGTCTTCTTGTTATGCACGTTGTAGTATATCCAATATAATCCAATATAATTATTTATGAATTGAGGTTGATCAGGAACACGGTTCCTTAAGAGATATGTAAATTCGTAAATAATAGTAGTTCTCAGTAATTTGAATTTTGCTGGTGAGTTATTTTGTTGAGGATGAGGTTAGCGGTTTTAAATTTTTATAGTAGATAAGTAATTTAATTTTCTTGTTTTTGTTGACTGGTGTCGTATTTTTTTTATAATGTTTCTATATATGTTTCTGTCTCTGTGTGTATGCGATTAAATATAGAATAAATAGCAAAACCTTTATAAATTGAACATGTTTCGATCTTAATTTAGTTTCATCAGAGAATTTTTTTGAAAATGAGAATATATCGGTATTTCGAATTTTATGTCGTTTATTATAGCTCACCTTTTATATCTTGTGGTGTTAGTGTGGGTGGGAATGTATCTGAATTCTAGTGGGTGTTTTTGTGTCAGGGTTAGTAGTGTCTCTGTGTGTGCCTAATTCCTGAAAATGATCGTGGACAGAAACAGAAATATGTGAGTGTATAAAATTTCTAGTTGCGCGTACGGTATTTGCTAATAGAATCAGCGCATGTCGTTAACTGCGTAGTAAATTTGCGTTACTAATTTTGGGGTAAATGTTATTGTCATGATTGTTATTTTTTTATTATTGCGGAAAAATCGTGCTCATTAATAGCAGTAGATAGGTTACAATGGGAGTAGATCGGTTTACCTAACGCCCGCTTCACACTCTCCTGCGTCTTTTGAACCGGAGTAGAGGTCAGTAAAAGTCTAGACAGCCACCTAAACTATCAACAACCAAAAAATCGACTACAAAATTTTGGTGGATTCCAGGATGAAATCCGGTACCAATAAATAACAGACGCCAAGAATGAATATAGGAAAATAATGTATTAACGTAATAATACAAACTGGTAAAGCAGGTTAGTAGTTCCAGGAATACGGGTTAGTAGCAAAATATCTATACAGTCTTTGGTATTGAAGTATCGCTGTATGACTTCTTACTGAGTCTACGTGCTCGCTCACTGTGACTCTTGCTCGCTACGTTCTGTCTGTCTGTTACCATACTCTCACTTTTCCGGTTACCTACAACTTTTCACTCCTCCTCGCCTTGTCTTGCTCCCTCGGGTCTTCACGTAGCAGTAGTATATGTATATACTGGGTGAGTCCATTTGTGTAAAAAGGGGAGGACCCCTCAACAAAAATTAAAATATTCAAGTAGAAAATAGGATAAATCAATGTCCAGTTAGGATCAGCTGATTTCAGTGTGAATTTCCTTTTAGAAAAATACAAGAAAGAAAAGGCAAACCTTGATGTTGTTTCTATGCAAGAGATGCATCGGAGATCGTAGTGACCCCAATACGCATATGGGATGCAATTTATTTTCGACATGCCACAAGGAAATAAGACAACATGGAGTTGGTATTCAATACGCACATCAGTAGATATTGTAATAGACAATATCGTACATCAGCCAGAAAAAGTGATGCCTGCCATCATTCTTATTAATGGCTGTATGGCTATCATATAGGACATAAATGAATGGAATTGTCCGTTTATGTAAGAAGAGTTAAGCGGAATTGAGGAAAGTTAGTTTTAGGCTTTAGCCGCGCGCTAAGCGCTTAGTGCTTGTCGAATTCTCAGCCTTCTGACAGCGAGGAACCCAGACGAAGCTATGCCGAAGGGCAGTCTTATCTGTGGAAGTAGATAAACCCGACCCTGTTAATTGTTGCCCAGGCCTACGGGCTCGGAAAACCCCTTGTTAAACCGGCCTTGTGCCACAATCCTCTCTTTGGGGAACTCAGGTAAATACCGAGTTAGCATTATGTCAATTGCTATTTGTATCTTCATGTAATAAACCTGCTAATTCGTTACTTACCTACAAGTTTGTCTTCCTTATGTATTTCTCTGTCAACTCGAAATCACGAGATACAGCAATGCCCTAATTAAAAAAAAATGTTTCAGAAAAAGAGAAGTTACGAACAGGATTAAACAAACTTTGCATATTAGAAAAAAAAAAAAAAAAACAGAAAATTAAAGGGGATGTTATTGCCACCTAACGTATTTTCACCGCCATTTTGAACGTAAGAAGTCATCACTCTTTAAGGCGGAAACTTCAAACAGTTCGCCATTTCTCTTTTAGGCTTGCATTTCAAAGGGTGAGGAAAAATTGTTTTAAGAGAAATATTTTATAAATTTCAACCGATAGCAGCGGTCAGAGAATGCCGAATATTTCCTTATAAGGAAAATGTTAATACTGCTATTGTCATTCAGGTATTTCCTTCATAATGGGGCGTTTTTTTTCGGTCGTATTTTTAAACTATAATTATGACCTGATTTATTTCTAGGGATTTAGCGGATTATCCCAAAGGTGGTTTCTTTTGTGTTCATAGACGCAGGTTTTTAGTGTTCTGGAAGTTTCACCCGCATAGTTTTTTTATGGATTTTCAGGCATTTAGCTTTATATATGATGCGGTTTTGGTACTGTGTTTGTTACTTGTCAAAACTCTGGCCGTCTTGAGTATGATGGCTACGATCGAAGTGTAAGTATAGGCGTTTTCCGTGTTTGGCTGATAGGAATTTGGTAGGTCGAATTATAAATTTAGTGTCTTTGGTGTCGATACTACTTCTTTTTTTAGTCTTGTGGATTTTATATGTTCTTTTTCTTACGTTAAGAATGAAATGATGAGAGTAGTGAAGGATTGCAAAGTTTTTTTTTTAAATGTATTTTCATTCTTCATCTCAGTGTACCTTGCTGTATATTCTGAGTGCTCAAACTTTGAAATCTATGATTAGGCCTGATTTTAATTTTTGGTTGCGGTGGGTAGAAATCGATTAGGTTATTTTTGATAGTTGGTTTCAGACATTTTCAAAGTTCTCTTCCTCCTTCTTTTCTCTTTACATAGAATCTGTTGGTATCATTACCGATATGCAGAACTTTTCATTAATTTTCTGGTTCATCGATTTTAGCACTTTTATTTCTCACCTATTCATTTCTCATATTAGATTTAAATTGTTAAGGGTCCACCCCTTTTTATACAAGTGGACTCGACCAGTGTGTATTTGTACTGCTGCGAGAGAGAGTAAGAGTGTGAGGTAACCGCTTTGTAGGAGTCACAGTTGCGAGCACGTAGACTCAGAAGGAAGTCATACTTCGATACTGAATTTCACAGACTGTATATATATTATTATTGTAACTAACCGCATTTCTGGATCTACTAACCGTATTACTAATTGTATTATTACTTCAATACATTTATTTGCTATATTTCATTCCCGCGTTTGTCATTCATTTGAGACCGGATTTCATCTCGGAATCCACAACATAAATTGATGTTAATAAAATATTTTAATTGTCTCTGTTCCCTAACAGATTATTGACGGATGGGAAATGAACTATGAATTGTTCCCCAGCTTGGAGGACTTACCCAGGGACATAAACAAATACAGATACTGCGGCCTGAAACGACCTAGGCGCAAATTCGTTTCCTCTCAAAACGCCGCTCTGATCAACTACTACACCCCCAAGAAAGGACAAGGTTTCAGTATACGCGTAAAATTCATAAGTAATCCATTTCGTAAGTATGCTTTGTTTTTTCTTCTAATTTAAGTTATTCTTTTAGCCAAGGGAATACTTTGTGTTTGGTCACGTTTTATTGCATGCACATCCTATTATAATTGCGCTTACGCTCTGACACATTTGTTATTTGGAACGACCGTTACGCCCTGCCAATACCACAGAAATAATGGACTATGTCGTTTTGAGAGCGTGGAAAGAGAGAAAAGACATTACTTTTTTTAACGAGAAAATGAAAGAAAGAAAGAAACAATGGAAGCGTTTAACGCCTCCTGTCAATACCTCAGAACTAACGGACTATTCCGTTTATATCGCGTGGAAAGAAGGAAAAAGACACTAATTGGTTTCAGTCAAACAAAGAAAGAAAGAAAAAAGAAAGAAAGAAAGAAAGAAAAAAGAAAGAAAGAAAGAAACTAAAATAGAAATATAGAAGAGTTTAACGCCTGCTGTCAATACCTCATAAATAATGGACTATTTCGTTTTGATCGCGTGGAAAGAAGGAAAAAGACACTAATTGGTTTCAGTGAGACAAAGAAAGAAAGAAAGAAAGAAAGAAAGAAAGAAGGAAAGTTAGAAAAAAAGAAAGAAAGAAAGATAGAAGAGTTTAACGCCTCCTGTCAATAACTCAGAAATAATGGACTATTCTCTTTTGATCGCGTGAAAAGAAGGAAAAGACACTATTTATTTTCAGTGAAAAAATGAAAGAAAGAAAGAAACGTGTTGGTACTACGTTAGCAGGCGATCTACCGCAGTGTCCGTAGTCTACGCTGTAAAATGATCTTTAGAGTGCTAGTTTGTCTAGCAGGCCATTTATAGTTTAACGTGCATTCCACCCGAACTTTTACACTTCAATCTGTAGCCTAACTCCACTACAAGAACATTATTCTGCTATAAATGATGATAAAAACAAATTTAATAATGATTTATCAATAATGTCATACACTTAATCATAACAATTATAATCATCGGAATAATAACAACCGAAAAAGGCTAAATAATACATTAATCGTCATCATTATGAAGGAATTCTTTGATGCTACGTAACTGATACACACTTCATATATAATTTAGGAATATAAAAAATAAATCCGCTTCATTTTTTCTCAGTACTTCCCAGCAAATGTGATCAAAGTGTGAATGGAAAGTCTCACTAGTAACGCCTCTCATCTTCTTTAAAATCCTTGTTTTGGCATCCAACCAGTGATGACATCTTACCGAATCGCGCGAACCGATTCCTAAAATTATAAACGCTTAGCGCGCCAGTTCTTGAATTATCCGAAAATAATCTTATATACAGGGTGCGATGGATAAATTGTCGTCAAAATGACTCTTTTTTCCCCCCCAAAAAAAAAAAGAAAATGAAAGTAACGCAGAAATCTCATTTTAACAAATATATTAAGCAAAAATACACAAAAAATATCTTGAAATACTGAAGAGTAAATTAATTCAATAAAATCACCATTGGCTTCAACCAAGGCTTTCAAACAATTTCCGTATCTCCTGCAACTCTTCTGGACGGTCTCCTTTCTTAAGTTGGTGAATGCTGGCATGATCCTTGCCTTCAGTTCATCTTTGGTGTTACAAAGAGTTTTGCTGGTCTCTCGCTCTACTGCGCTGCAAACATAGTAATTAAGGGTGTCGCAGTCTGGTGAGTTAGGTGGAAAAATGTAAGGGGCTATGTGGTCGCAGCAATCCGAGTGCAATATCTATCAATCAGTTACTCTCAGTAAGTCTCTAGCATCTGAGTGGCCCCGGCAGCCTCTCTTGCGATACGTGGATCTTACATTCTCTCTCTACGGTGTGTGAGAGACTGCCGAAATCATACTTTCATTCTCACGCTTGCAATACCGGATACAAAGGAGAGGTCACGTACATTCAGTGGATTCGGGGAGTGGGACTGTCCTCAGATCAAACACCTGTTGCACCTGTCTTTCTGATGTCTAGGGTTGAAATCCGAGTTCAATATCTATCCCGAATTGAAAATTATAATAGTAATTTAAAAAAAAAAAAATTAAACTACTTTTCATTCCAAATACTCAGACCGTTTCCGAATATGTCTCTCTGTCATGGTGGCCAGCTAAACCTTGCTGCATACATCTGTTCAGGCACATTTGTATTTCGTCAAATAGATGCACATGGCCAGCCTGTTGTCTATGTTGCGTTTATAACGAACCCACCTAGTGTTTCTGATAGAGAGAGCATAATATGGCCTGATCAGTGGTTGAACACATCCAATACGCTCATAACCTCGGTCACGATGACTTGTGACTTCCTGTTAGTATAGCAACGAACGGCTTCCGAACAGTTTTACGCAAAAGGCTTATATCAACCCATGCTAAGGTTTTCAGTCACTTTCCAGCGGCAGTCTCCTATGGCCGATATTATCAAGAAGTCACCTTCTTGACAAATAGAACATGGGGGAGGGAGTTCGATATCGAGTGTCAATTTCCGAAATCTAACGTCGTCCACACGCCCAAACATATAGGCCCACATTTAATGCATTTTATAAAAGGGTTTCGTAGGGTTTGTCTGGTGTTTATTTTAAGACGTCTCGTGTCTATAAAATGACAATGTTTTATTATGACGACGTCTCATTCGATTTTCATTGGAAACAAAGTCACGTCGTTTCAAAGCGAAATTCTACGATCTTGACAGGGTCTTCTCAAACATTATTGCATCTTTTCTACTACTTCTTTATCTTTTTTAAAAATATTTTCTGCCATTTTTACCTTCAAGATTTGTATAGATAATAACCAAGACTAGCAATATCTGTCTATATTTCTGAGATGAGGTATTATGTACACTATTTACATTATTCGGACTATTGTTCTCATCTTTGTCGCCATATTTATTACAAAGTTTCGGCCGTTGTACGTTCCAGCCTTCTTCAGTATCTACCTATATTTCTGAGATGAGGTGTTATGTACACTATTTACATTATTCGGACTATTGTCCTCATTTTTGTCGCCATATTTATTACAAGGTTTCGCGCCATTGTGCGCTCCGGCCTTCTTCAGGTGGTTGGAATGTCGAACTGAACCCTTTATTTCGCTCACTGGGTTAAACTGTTCTAGTTCCACGTGCCATGTCTAATGGATGTCAGTTATCAGCTATCTCCTGCTTAATTCCCCTCTCCAAGTTCTCCACTGCCTTAACCGGGTATTGAACTCAAGGACACATGGCACAGTGGATAAAGGCGTTAGTTAGATCCAGTGACAAGATCCAAAGAGTGTGAGTTCAATATAGCAGGTCATTTATATTTCTAAGATTCAGCACAGAACACGAGAGCCATTCAAAGTAGAGTGCTACTGTTAAAAGGGTTACGATGAATGATATGTGTGATATGAATGATAGAGAAAGTTGTAGAAAGTGAATATTATAAGGATAAAAGCATAAAAAAATAATTGTTCCTTAACTTGAAGAGGTCAAGATTGAACTGTATAAGGAAGGTCTGTATACGAGGTCTATTTCTCAAAGTGGAAGTTCTTTGGGTAAAAAAATCTGCCCCAGTGAAAATTTCTGCTTACAACTGAAGTTGATTGGACACCGTGGAAATAGCATGGCTTGTCCTTGTTGTAAAAGTCCGAACTGGTAGAATTAACGAATGAGGCTCCTCCAAACATAGAAATAGCGATAGAGTAACGACCGGCTTGTCAGGGTGCGTCTGTGGGAATGAAGTTGCAGAGTGGTGGATATGTCTTTCTACAAATGACTGCGTGAATAAGTTGAAACTATCCAGGCAGGAAAGTCGGGATTGCGTCACTCCAACTAAGGTATGGCAGATGTTTGGTCTCATCTGACTCTTCTATATAATAAATGCAAATGTCAGTGTGTCACTGTGTCACACTTTTTATTTGGACTCTTAGAAGCCGTAGTCCAACATGACATGCTATTTTGGAATCAGGTAGACCCCCGTGAGCAAATTAAAACCATTTCGGTCCAGATCCGGATCTGGGCCAGCAATCCTGAAATTTTGGATTCCCAAGTTTTCATTACTGCGATGGGTTTCAGATTCCGCCATCGTGGCTTCTACTGATAAAAACAATGAAAGGGACACAACTCTCTAACTTTCTAACGCTCATGCTCAAATGAAAAAATTACTGCTCTCAAATTACATTGTTTCAATATAAAATTGTTCGTGGATTCAACTTTACTCCTAGAGTCCGTGGCCTATCATACCATTTCGGAATCAGGCCGACCCCGTGAACAAATTAAAAAACATTCCGGACACGCAATCCTGAAATTTTGGAATCCCAAGTTTTTTTTTGTTTTTTTTTTGTTTTTACTGCCATTGTTTGCTGTGTCATTTTTACGTGATTTTTTGCAATAATTATTTTTTTTTTGGAAGATTAGTTTTTATAGCTTGGAAATAAATTTAGGAATAATCGAAATTAATTGCAAAATCCAGCAAAAGTCACCCATAAAATAAAAATAATTGTTTGTACGGAAAGTAAGGACCTACATACATCAAACTGTTTTTAAATGAAATACCAGCAGATGAATTATCGTTGAACTTCTAAAAGGTAGACTTAAATATTAATGCAATACTTAAATGCAGCCATCAGTTTTGAGTTCTATAGTTTCTCGTTAGCTATCGCATCAACTCCTCTTTACCTATTGTGATGAAGGCCAAATCGAGAGCCCTCCACAGAAGCTGGCTTAAAAGCTTTTAAGATAGTATAATAATAAAAGAAAAACGTATAAAAAGTAAGTAGACAAATTCACGAACGAAATCTTTGATCTTACATTTATTTTTATTTTTCAGCTTGCAATGTAATATCCATCGAAAATTCGGGCACTTACACGCTTCGAAACTACGGACTCAGGATGAATTGCAGCATTTCAATCATTTATCCCGAAGTGGTGAATGTGCTGTCAGTGAACATCGGCACGACGTCGACTGGGAATTCTATTGATTTTCTCCAGAGGCCATCGGTGAGACACCATGCTACAATTGCTTAGATTAAAATCAACTCCGATAAATATTCCTGTTCGTAATTAACTTTCTATTTACAAAGAAGCAATATCAATTCCATTTATTATTTCGAAGATAAATCTTGTTTATTTATTTTATTTTATTTGATTGTTTTAGCGGCATATTAACACCTTATAGGTCATTGAATGACGAAATTTAATTTTCTTGGGAGCATTACTAATTTATTTTACAAAAATGTATTGCTGGTAAATATTTTTTCTTCCAGAAATCTATTGCTGCTAATTTTTTATATTTTTTATTTATATTTTTTTTTAATTTTTATTTTTATTTATATTTTTTTTTAATTTTTATTTTTATTTATATTTTTTTTTAATTTTTATTTTTATTTATATTTTTTTAAATTTTTATTTTTATTTTTTTTACAAAAACGTATTTCTGGTAATGTTTTACTATGAGAATGTATTGCTGGTATTTTTACTATAAAATTGTTCACATTCTCATAGTGTTTTCACTCCAGTCTAACATATAAAATCAGCTTTGAAGTAGTTCACCTTCTGAAGCCATGCACTTTATTCAACGTCCGTCCATTGATGGAGGCGTTCGTGGAACTCCTTGTTTCAGAAGTTGTCTTGTCACTTTCACTTGGATTTCCTCGTCGTCTTGAAAAAGTCTTCCTTTTAAATGCGATTTGATTTTTGAAAAGGAAAAAAAAAAGCTGCCCCACAATCCACAGACACCGATAGAACCACGTTGATGTGGCAAGAGGACCACACTCTACACACTTACCTTCCAAGCACTGATATAAACAAGGAAAGTGAACGAGAACGTTATAATGTGTTGTTTGCGCGATATTGTTCAAGAGCAATCTGTGCCAGGCGGCTTCACTCTATACACTCTAGTTCCGTTACCATAGCAACTTTTATCAGACCTCGTATATACATATATATATATATTTATATATATTGTGTGTATTTAGGCAGAATTTTTCATTGATGCATGTTTCATTAAATAATATAGACAAGTTATGTCTATTTTATGTAAATTCTTTTCATATCGTCTGATAAGCTTAATCAAAGATGACAATTACATTACAATATATTAGACAATACACGGACAAAACAATAATGATAGTTTGTTTTTGTTTACATGGGAGATTTTCAAACAACGACAAACTCGTGCATATGAGACGCTGGAAACGAAAATCGCATCGTTTGATATATTGTAATGTAATTGTCATCTTTGATAATGGCTTATATAAGCTGAAAGCTTAGATAAGATTAAAAATATGTATCAATATTGTGATTTTCTTTCTTTTTTTAATGATAATGCTATTAAGCTTATCAGACGATATGGAAAGAATTTACATCAAATAAATAGACAAAACTTGTCTATATTATTTAAAGAAACACACACACACACATACACACACACACACAAACATATATATATATATGGCAAAGTAGAACAATGTGTGTGACGCGTTTCATCTTTTAGTATTTCATCGGGCAAGAGATTTTTTTTACGTTGATAAAACTACACATTCGCACGCATTATTTCAACTTTATCATTAATTTTCCTAACATTGTTCTGTTATATAAAATCTATACATCATTTTTCTCCCATATATATACATATATATATATATATATATATATATATATATGGCGACCTAAAAGATAAAACGCGCCACCCACATTTTTCTACTTTTTATATATATATATATATATATATATATATATATATATATATAGATAGATAGATAGATAATGAATATCCATGTTCTTTTTCTTTTCTTTCCTTCTATTTTATTTTGTTGGTAATCTTTAAAATAATTTCAAGCGTTAACTGTAAATTATATTAATCTGTATTCATGAAATTAACCGCAATACGCCTATATATGCTAATTTATTCTTCTTATTCTTCTTTCTCCCCTTTTACTCCCACCCCTACTTCTTCATTTGTTTTCTTTTATAGCTTATCTCTTTTCTTCGCTTTTCTCTTTGCCTTTTTTTCTTTTCTTTTTCTCGTGAAAGGACTTATTATATAGGTCAAATGTCTGGCACCTTACCCTTACTATCCTTACTCTTAAGTATCTTAATAACGAAAGATTTAAACATATTCCTATCTCTCCCTTCCCTTTCTAATTTCGATCATGTCTGTCGTCCTTCTCACTCTCTCTCTCTCTCTCTCTCTCTCTCTCTCTCTCTCACCTTACACCAACTTAAAGCGACCACTCAAAAACTTGTATAAAAATAAGAATATGTAAATTTTTAAACCATTTTCTTTTATGCTTGGACATGTGATCAGTAGAACGAGGATGACATCCCTTTCCTGGGGAAATAAAATATAATTAATGGACCTTTAATGTTGTTTGTTTTTTAATTAAACTATATATATATATATATATATATATATATATATATATATATATACTGAAGCGTTACTGGAAGTCCTTGTTTGGGATAGCGAGCAGTAGTCTTGTTAACTTCTCTTGAATTTACATTATGGCTTGTCATTGCAAATATTTTGTTTAGTCGAATTTCGATATTTCTGTTATCTTATTATAATTCTTTCTGTCTCTTCCTTAGTTAGCACGACAGGTACGAACCACGAATACCTCATAAATAATGATCTATCCCGTTTTGAACGCGTCGAAAGACGGAAGAAATCTATCAGAAGTGCTTCAGTGAGAAAAAGAAAGTGAAGATAGAAGAGGCGATAACACTCACATACGTTTAACTGTCTGCTTTAGTGAAATAGAAAATATCAATTTCAAATCTTTTCATTTGTACCCCTTTACTTCTTAAAGTAACGATCAGCATTCATATTTATGATTTTTATTGTAATATTTTGTTGTTAAGTTGTTAAGTTCAAATATGTGACCATGGAGGAATTTCTACGGATATTATATTGCCGTAGAATCCGCCTTGAGCTCCTTCAAACATTAAATTAAAGATTAAGATTCATCAGAAATCCAAATAGATTTGGTTTGGTTGATTTTGTTCAGCGTTATATCACCCTCTATGGGTCATTCAATGCCGAAATCTAAATATTTTGAACATAATTTTATGGTTTCAAATAAATGTAATTTGATCGCAATTGTTTTCTCGTGTTGATTTTCTTGTAGTATTTAAGTCTTACAGGTGCTAAGTACATTCAGTTAACATATTTGTATCCTTTCATAGTGTTTTTTTTTTTTTTTGGTTTGAGGCTACACTATTTACCCATAGCTGTGACCCTAACAGGTGCTACCACTCCGAGTCATTAAGAGGTAGTTCCAGGCTCCTCAAAACTTACAATCTCCCGATCAGAGGCCTTGCTGCTGGATATAGTTTATCGTCATACCCAGGACTCTTAAAGATGGATAAAAGGTTGTGTCTTCTGAACAGACTTATTCCACCTATACAGTGATTTGGTTGATTAGCGGCATATTGACATCTATGGGTTATTTAATGCCGAAATCTAAATATTTTGAACACACGTTTATGCCTTCAGCTACAGATACTTTGTAGATAATTATATTTTTTCAGCGTAACTGTGTTTTTTTTTTTGTTGATTTTTTTTAGAAATATATGATGTACATGATGTGTTGTAGGTGTTATATGTGTTGATATAAACCTATTTCTTTAAGGTAGGACATTATGTTGAAGGTTTCAGTATTTTCAAATAGTTTTCTCATGTTTCTTTCCTTGTAGGATTTATGTCTTACAGGTGTTAAGTACAGAGTAGTTCGAAAGAATTAATTAACCGTCAGAATTAACCGCCAGTTTTTTAACAGGTAGATTTTGAAGCGTTAATCCTAAAAAGATGTAGAAATAGCACAATTACGAATTGGGAAAAATGACAGCATCGAACTTACACATAATTTGATCGCAATTGTATCCCTTCAACTAAAGGTTTTGTATATAATTTTATACTTTCATATATATATATATATATATATAAATATATATATATATATATATATATATATATATATATATATATATATATAAGAGAGAACAGTAAGATATATAATCCGGTGTTCTTATTGATATTTTTTATTTTTATTTTTTACAAATGTAAATGTACTCAATGTAAATTAAATTAAATTAAATTTAAAGTTTTTAGTTTCAGTTTTTGAAACATGGTTATTACTGCGTAACGAAGAATCCATATTTTAAATCAGTTAATTTATAATATATATATATATATATATATATATATATATATATATTATTTACATGATGTGTTGTAGGTGTTATATATGTTGGTATAAAACTATTTCTTTAAAGTAGGACATTATGTTGATGGTTTCAGTATTTTCAAATTGTTTTCTCATATTAGTTTCCTTGTAGTATTTATGTCTTGCAGGTGTTAAGTACAGAGTGGTCCGAAAGTCGTGTCACCTCATTACATCTCTTTTAAACTGTAGGGACCCGTCAGACATATTGAATAAAAAATTATATTATATAGGAGTGACATGACTTTCGGACCACCCTGTACATTCAGTTAAAATATGTTTTGTGGCTTGTCATGTTGCACATGTTGCTTGATCTCCATTCTTCAGCAAGTATAAATGGATGGAAATTACAAATAGGATAACTGTGAGATTTTCATCGGTATTTCCAGTTATTATTATTATTTTATTATTATTATTATTATTATTATTATTATTATTATTATTATTATTATTATCGTCATCATTATATTTTGATTTCTGCTTTGGTTAAACTATCTACCAAGTCCGCGGGAAGACCTAAGTCAGGTAATGGTAGTTGATATGATTACATTTCATGATTGTTTTTCTATCTCTAACAACATCACTACCGTTACATGGACAAATTTCTTAGTGCGGGGCTCTACTTACAATGATATTTTTTTTGCATTTCTTTTAAGCTGGGATTTCCAGGGATTTTTTCAATATGTTGTTGTGTTTCTTTTTTATCATTCCAAGAGCACCTACTATGTCTGGTACTATTCTCGTTTTCAATTTCCATATTTTTTCTATTTCGATTCA